GTTGAATGGAAGCTGTTTATTAAAGTGATGATACACAGTTTTGGTCTGCAGGTGAATTTCTGTACAAGCGGCGTGTGTTTTCTTTGTGCTACAAACCTAGCTCTATGGTAATATGCCAACAGCCTCCGATCCCTAAACAAATAACACATTTATACTATTCAGCCTGTGTTCCGTGCCACAACTGTCCTTTGCCACTGACATTCAAATAACATTTCTTCTGCTGCTTAAATGGGAATAAAAAAAGAATTGTGTTGTGCGACTTCACATGACAGCAGAGCCCCGGTAGATGAAAAGAGGCAGAATTCTGATTCCAGCTCTTGTTGGGCTGTCGTCTCTCCACAGCTAGATCTGACTGTCATGGGTATCTGTTTAAAGAAGACTCTTTATCAACCGACAGCTGATCTCTACAAAATGAATAGCTGCACATAATGATGGAGGAACATTGCTTAGTGCACATTTGCCAGCCGGTTCAGTGCCTCTGGTGTTTGTATGTTGACCATGTGTACATTTTTGTATTACAGTCCTGAGAGAAGGCATGTGTCCTTTGGTTTTGTTGCAAAAATATTCTAAATGGAGGCTGCATTAACACAGTTTGTCTGATAGGAGAAGAATTGTTAATCTGCTCATAACGCTGGGCCCTGTTCAATTCCTTACATAATCTCTGACATGAGCCCGCTGGCTTGCGTCACTCTGTCATTGACAGCTGTCAACACAACACGGCCGACGCACACAAATACACACTCACTGACTCACACACCACCATGCGCAGAGAGGCAAATGTGTTTGTTTTTTTCAACTGCTTCACATGCTTTCTCTCAGAACGATGTGTGTTGTAAATGAGCCAGTGAAAAAAATAAGGGCTCTGGATAGACAGAAGAGAATACAGACGCCCCGATCTCAGACCTCGTTTATTGTACACGTCTATCATGAATCATCAGGCCATGACAAAATGATTTATTGGTTCAATCGAGTAATGGGTTAAGCTCTCAGCATTATGACGGTGGCCTGGGCATGGGTCTGTAATGTAAGGGATAATCTTAATCCTTCCACGTTATGTCAGTAGTCCAAGGGTTCAGTGGAAACAGCCAGGAGATTTTGACTGGTGATTTTCCATGTTTGCACAAGCCTGTAGGATATTCAGTTTTTATTTTATTTTATTTACCAGCATGCTGTATCTAAAATTTGAACAATATAATTCTGATAATTATGGGAAACAAATTTAAGAATAATTAGTGGGAACCACATTTGTGTGGATGTTTAAATTTGATAACATAGTGCACTATACTGTAGTAGGTATGAATAGCAGGTCCTCTTTAGTGAATACTAATTGTTGTTTTTCATCAAGAATTCACACTGCATAGTGACTACCAGAGTAGCAGCATTTCTAAATATTTCACCACTTTTTCTATTTATTTCTCAGCTTCACAGTTTCATTATGTCCCGTGAATGACTCTTTATATCATTGAATGAATCAATACTACATTTGCAGTGAATAGGGAAGAAGTGTTCTGTCTGACAATGTCTGTCTATCTGATGCTTATAACAACATAAACTATGACAGGACCCCTGTAAGCTGTTAGTGTGTTTGGCAAATTGATGTGGGTGTTCACATTTGACTGTCAGTTTCCAGGTCTTTGATAATGCAGTGTAGTTTTAGCAGTCGGTTGAACTCAGGGCAGTGGAGAAGACAGTGAAGGGCACTGGGTGAACATGCAGAGGCCTGGCTGCCCTATTGTGCATGTGCTCTGAGTGACACGTCATCCCCTCAAAGGGCCTGCTAGTGTGGTGAATCAGTGTCCTTGAACTGCTCAACCACAGACAGACAAAGAACAAGCTTTAGCATTCGGCTTGACTGTCTCCTCTCTCTGCCATGCCCATTGTCCAAGACACCCACACCAGGCTGCAATGCTGCATACAGGAAATCAGTCTTGAGCCGCCGTCCGGCCCTTATGATTATGCTGTGGCGTGATTGTGCTGCAGTGTGATTCACACATAATCTTGGCGTCTCAGCAGGTGTCTTTGAAGTGGCCTGCATGCAGAGGCCATCTCAGTGCTGTGAGGAGCGTCGGGCTGCTGGGATGGGCTTTAGCATGGCTGCCCGTCTAACTGTGCCTGGCTTTGATGTCGTAAACAGTGCAGGCAGTGCTGGCTGGCAGGGAAGCGGGCAGGCAGGCAGGACGGCGGGCAGGAACGCAGGCAGGCGCAGTGAATGGCATCAGTGGCACTGCGCTGGTCAAGCTCAAGCGAGCCAGCAGCTGCCTGTTTCACACCAAGAGGCAGTTAACACTGCAGCTCATGTCAATAGATATTGACTGCCAGATTGGGAGTGCTTATGAGCGCATGCCTTTTTGTTTGACTGATTCTCCTGTGTGAATTCAGTTTAAATCATCCTCAGTGTCTAAAGTGTAGCTTAGAGTTCCCCATGAGCAGTCACACAAGACGACAACTTGCACAGTCACAGATATACAAATATTGACTCCGGCTGATGAAGTAGGTGACTTCATGGTGTATTTGATCTCCATTGTGTCATTGCTGGGTATTTATTCTCCTTGACCCCTCTCTCCACATCTTTTTGAAAGCAGCTTATCCTAGTGTGGAAATGACTCTGTGTTCAGACTGAGGTCTTCTCTCATACAAGAAACGACAGAGCCTGCCTCAGCCGGTCCAGAGACAAACCCTTTTTACTGTTGAGTGCACTGAGCATTCAGGGGCTTGTGCAGTGGTGGAGTGAGAGGGTGTTAGCTGGTGAGGCTGTGTGCAGTCAGGGTCTTCCTGCTGCAGATAGGGCTTTGTGAGGCATGCTCGTGTATGTGTATGCCCTGCCCGGCCTGGCACCCTCGTGTCTCTACTCCCACTGCTTTCACCTGATGTGGCACAGCCTCTGTCAGGCCTGAGCGAGCGCCTAGCCAGCTCCGCTTCTTCAGGAGAGATGAAGGCATCTCACAGCTATGCTGTGGGGGTGGGGGAAGCTAGCAGCAACCTAAGCCTGGAGCTATCAGAGGCTGGAGCTCAGAGCCAAAAGCCTGTGGGCTGGATAGGGTGGGTGGAAGAAGCTTGGCTTAACTTGGCAAGACAACCATAGCCACGGCCCTGCACTGCCACCCAATGGCTGGGGCCTGTCACTACAACCTTTAGCTCAATACAACCACAACTAGTCATAATTACGGTACGCTTCAGTTGTTGTGAGTGCATGTCAGTACAAATTATGTAAGTAATGAGGCTGAAAACGCTAAAGGAGTCGAAACACACTGCACTGCTAATGCTCATGCAGGGAGAACACAAAAACAAACAATAGAGTGCACTCATACAGAGATAGACCTAACCGAAATAACAAGCAACTGTGCACAGTAAGGAAAAGATTAATTATAAATTAACCCTCTCAGTTAGGTTGTCGAAGCCCGCCTCCTGCCTGGATTTCACTCTAATCCGGGCCGACGAGGTGCAGTGCCCTCTATTGTATGTGAGAATCACAAATCGCAGGAGGTGTTGTCTGGAGGAGAATTAATTGTGCATGTTCCACCACTCCCTTTTGTTCATTTTACTAAAATGTAGGCTAATTCCATGTAAACATGGCCGGTCTTGTTGACTCCAGCAGCGCGAGGAGAACAGACACAGATTCCTGAATGAATAGAGTGTGGCTCCGGGGTTAGTGGATTAGAGGCTCTGTGTTAAGGGCCTCTCCCGGGCATGCCTCAGGGACAAGGACATTATCCACATGACACATTACAAGCTCCTAGGCAGATGATTAAAATGGGCAGGGATCTTTGGATTGAACTTCAGCAGAAGTACTTTTGATGTGATCAAACTAGTTTAAAGAGGTTGGTTGTTAAGGTGTACGAGGGATATTTGAAGCTTCTAGTCTTGTGAAGAGACAGTTAGGCCTGGCTGGAGGGGAGAGGCTGATGTAACACTTTGACATCGAATTTACCACCACGTTTCTAATTATTATAATTTTTATTGCATCTTATTAAGGCAAAAACCATAATATTCCTCCCCTAATTGGTATAGACTGGTGTTGCAATAGCTCCACATGCTCTGATTGGTTGGCCACATGGCTGGTTGGAGAAAACCATTACATTGTGAGAAAATATCCTGCGGTGATCTTTCCTCGATTTAGATCAGATAGCGGTGTTCGTCTGACGCTGTACTGCACTGTTGGGATAGTGGGACTGAGATGTTGGAGATGTGGAGGAGGGCTGTGAGATAGAGATCTCTAGAGGGAGAGAGAGAGAGGGGGAGGTGGAGGTGGAGAGGGATGTAGCATCAGTGGCTGCAATGATAAAGCTGAGAGCAGTGGGACGAGCTGGGAGTTCTGTGTCTCTGATGTCTGTGTGTTCTGTGGTGTTGCCCTGTGGTCTGCTCCTGAAGAGAAGGCCAACGATGGATGAGGCCTGTCCTCTGTGTGCTTTTGTCCTCTATGGCGGGTGAATCACAGGCCTGTCAACAGCACAACACCACGGCCACTGAACACTTTTTCTCATAGCATATACAGACAGACACACTCACTGCCACCGCTCCGTCCACCACAGGCCATGTTATGAGTCTGTGGCTTCAGTGGATTTAGTCCTGAGGTTCTTATGGTTTTGAAGTTTAAGAGGCTTCATGAAGTCTCCTCATGTTCCTAAATGAGCCTTTGTCACTGCTCCAGGCTAGTATTAATATGACTGTTCTGTATTTGGGTTCGTGGGTAGATGGGTACAAGTTGTGTTTGACACTTTGTTTACATTGGCTGCTTGTGAGGACTTAAAATGTCCTCCTCTTTCTCACACACACACACACACACACACACACACCCACATATCCAACTCTGTAAACATTCAGCTAATGCTCTGTGGAAGTGAGGATTCAAAAGCCACCGGAGGAGATGTTTTTAGAAGCACAGTGCTCTTTCATGTACCAACATGGATCTATGGCGAGGGTGTTGTACAGTGACTTGTGACAGCAAAATGTTGATTTTTTATTTATTTATTATTTCTTTCATTTTCTTTTCTTCTCTGCAGCTCAAATCGAAATAATTCCCTGCAAGATCTGTGGAGACAAATCATCAGGCATCCATTACGGCGTGATAACATGTGAAGGCTGTAAGGTAAGCATCAAGAGACTGGAGCTGTTTGTATCATGGGAAGTAGTGTTTGTGTGAGTGTGTGCGTGTGGTTGTGTGTATGAGAGAGAGAGAGAGAAAGAGAGAGAGAGAGATATCTGAGAGGGGGAAGACAGGGAAATTTGAGAAGGTATGGAAAGTTGCTTGCTAGGAAAAACGTTTATAAATGTTGCTGAAGTTTTACAATGATTTGGAGAGGGACTGCGAAGTGTAAACACAAAGAACATCATCATTAAAGTGGTCAAGCACCACAAAGGACATCACAGAAAAGCACAATTAGTAGGACAAAGTCATCCCTCTGCCTTGCTCTGCCTTTCCCTCCCAGGGACATGTCTTTTCACTTTTTTTTTTTTTTTTGCTTCTGCTGCAGCATGCTCTTCTTGAAATAAAATGATCAAAAGGAGAGTGCTTTGAATTATAGCAGATTGTTGGCTGTTTGCTACAGTGTTGCTTCCATTGAAGCCGCCTTTTGTACTGTTTCAAATGCACCAGCCATTCACAGTGAGGGGAATTTTGTGCTTAGAGTGTATTCTTGTCCCAGTGCTTGTCACCAGGCACATCATTAGCATTCCTCAGCCAGCCTGCACCTTTGCTGTTTGCTCCTGTGTGTGTGCGTGTGTGTGTGCGCATGTGTGTGTGGAGAGAGAGAGAGAGGAGGGAGAGAGAGAGAGGAGGGAGAGAGAGAGAGACATTCCTGTTCTTCCCAATGCTACTCTCCCTCACACAGGAGCTGGAAGGAGTAAAACACTAAAGAATAAACTGCTGAAATCTATCTTTAATGATTGCTAATTAGTCCAAGGCAGAGAGGCCTTTAATGATATGTACGAGTACAAAAGTTTGGACCATAAATCATAGCATTATTAAAGAGTGCTGCTTGTCACTGGCAGTTATAGCCTGTTTCCATAATGGCTTCCATTATAAAGCAACTTGGCAGCTGTCAGCTGTTTTCTTGTAATTAAACAGCCAATGAGCAGCTAATTAAGACATATGTGTATGGAGCAGTAGAGTGGGGCATGTTAATGATGTGCTGGAATCAATTCATTAAGTCAAAGGATGAGGAATCCAGTCGGTGTGCATTCGCAATCCTTTCGCAATCCTTTAGCACTGCACATGCCAGTGCTGCGTTAATCAACACTAATAGCCCCACTGAAGAAAAATACCATCCACTGTTATCATTCCTACCCAAACACACCACCCTCATGCCATACACACTGGTGAAAAAAACACTCTTTGAATGCCAGATTTAACAGCCAACAGGAGTAGTATTATCTAATCTGTTTGGCAGCAGTAAAATAAAAGTATCACCACCAGGAATACAGTATATCACTATCAATCGGTAATGAATTTTGTCAGCACTAAAACACTATGAAAACATGAATTGATCCTTCAGTCCCAGAACATTTGTCCTCCCACGGTGGTTCATCTCGTAACCCAAAGTGCTTCCATGCCCCTTTTCTGTTCAGGGCTTCTTCAGGAGGAGTCAGCAGAGCAATGCAGCCTATTCCTGCCCCCGTCAGAAGAACTGCCTGATCGACCGCACCAGCCGCAACCGCTGCCAGCACTGCCGGCTGCAGAAGTGCCTGGCAGTGGGCATGTCACGAGATGGTAAGTGCTTGATGGAAGAGGTGGGCAGACACAGCAGGGGGGCATGGTGAATCAGGGGAGGTGAAGGGCCCGGGTTCAAGCGCCTGTGTGGGCAAGAATCCGCTCTGCTGAAGTGTGTTTGAAGCAGTGCTTATGGGATGCTGTTGTGGACTCTGACCTCCCTGTGAAGGCGGGCAAGAGAGGAAAGAATTTTCGAAGGGGATCAAAATATTAACGTCACTTTATGAAGTTATTGGTAGTGTTTATTTGGGGCTCATTATTTATTACAAAAAACAAGCCAGGAATGTATGTGTTTATTTTGAATTTAAAAGAATCAGTGAGGACTGGATGAGAAAATCAATTACAAAAAAAAGGACATTGTTTAGTGTAAACTTCTAGTTACTATCTTCTTGCGGCAGGAAATGCAACTTTTTAACTTTACAACTCTTTTGGGAACTCATAGCTGCTTTTACGTAGCCATTAACATCTGTGGGTTTATATCATTATTGTTAGTTGGCGCTCTATTGATATCTTACCAAATACCGATATTTTGGTTTAGAGACAAAGAAAACACACACACACACACAGATAACGAACGCCATTATTCTCAAAGAGACACAATAGACACATCCCAAGACAATGGTGACATGAACACATGCTAAGACGTCAGTCTGTGTTCATTGTCTGCCAGTAGCAGGTGAGTGCTCTGTCTGTGGGACTAATTTGTTGCTGTGATAGAAACTAGGTTTGATGAAATAGGAGGTTGTTAGAGGTTGTCATTAGTGCTGCTGCAGCTGAGATGCTGTAATAGGAGCACACAGGTGGGGATGTGTGCTGGAGGGCTCCTGCTGTGCCAGGCTGGTCCAGACTGGGCCAGTCCAGACTGGGCTGAGCTGAGGAGATTATATCAGAACAAAGCAGATCTATGATGTTTTTTTGGTTTTTTTTAAACACACACAGGAATTCACACAGACAAGAGAAAAGCTGAACAGACATGGCTAAGGCTGGCATTTCTTTATGCACACTGCTTTGCTTAAGTTCAGTTACACACGCATACATATTCATGAATATGAATGAACACAGAAGTACATTAGCACTTATGAGTGCCTTTGCATAGCCAGACACATGCACATATACGCACACATACACACACACACACACACACACACACACACACACACACACACACACACTCAGGACAGACGAAGGTGACTCTTGCTTTCACTCAACACACCAGAGCCCATCTGCCCGCACTCTCCTCCTCGCCGCTCCACTCGCTTTCCACTGTGCGTAGACAAGCACACACACAAACACATGCACACACACACACAGACACACACTGTGACCGGCTGACATACTGCCAGGCCCCCAGAACTCTGGCCAAGGAGTCACATTCTCAGCACCAGTGTTTAGTCTGGAAACCTTGAAACAGGAGGCAGCAACTTAGCCCGTCTCACGTTTGAGTGGCTGGTAAGCTGTTTGTCACTTCATTACTTCCCACTTCTGCCTCTGCACTTATGAAGCTGTTAATTTTTTTTATAATCTCTGTCATCAGTGATCTCTCCTGAAAAATGTAGATTTGGTTTTTTGTCATCAGTGTTTTCTATTAAAAGAGTATATCACTTTTACTGTACTGCACATTCGTATTGTGGAGATTGATGCTAATAGCAGGCGTCTTTTGGTCTAATAGTAACATACAACTTCAACATACATGAGTGTTGTTTTACTTTGTCAGGGGAGGGCAAAAAATTGACTCTGAATGTGGTACACAATTTATAGTAAGTAAGGAATTAATGTGCCCCAAAAATCCCTAATTCAATCCTTTTCTCTTGCCAACAAGTCATTTCTTCTGACGGCAAGAATTATGTTTTTGTTATAGAAGTCACAATTTAGCCAATAGTGTGAAATAATATGATTCGTTCTTATAGTAATTCCACTGTTTCAGGCATTTTCTAGACATGACTGTCAGTATCTTGTTAGTATCTAAAGTTATTGAATTAAGTTTGTTTGTGTTGGTAATTCACCCCACTGGTGAGACTTATTATGAAAAAATGTTAAGACTCAACAATAAAAATTAAATAAAGTAAAGTAAGTAACACATCTCTAATTAACTAGGGCTTTCATAATATTTTGAGTACAAGTTATTATCACATATTTCTGGTTGATTGTTTGCAGTGTTTCACTAGAGTGTAACACACGTTTTGTCCTGCTATAATCACAGCGGTGAAGTTTGGCCGCATGTCAAAGAAGCAGCGAGACAGCCTGTACGCTGAGGTCCAGAAGCACCGGCTGCAGCAGCAGCAGCAGCATGACCGCCAACAACAGCCCGGAGAGGCGGAGCCGCTCACACCTAGCTATGGCCTCTCAGCCAATGGCCTCACCGAGCTCCATGACGACCTCAGCGGCTACATGGATGGTCACACCCCTGACGGCAGCAAACCAGACTCGGCGGTCAGCAGCTTCTACCTGGACATCCAGCCATCTCCTGACCAGTCAGGCCTGGACATCAACGGCATCAAGCCGGAGCCCATCTGCGACTTTGCACCTGGCTCTGGCTTCTTCCCTTACTGCTCCTTCACCAACGGAGAAACCTCCCCCACCGTGTCCATGGCTGAACTAGGTAAGTAGCAGGAGAGAGGCAGGGAGACGAGAGGAGAGACAGCAAAATGGAGGGGGGGGGAGAACAACTCAACCGTGGGGCAAACGACACAAAGGTTGCTTAAAATAGCAGGAGGTTGGAGACTCATCTCCAACACTCATTAAAAGAGCCTCTTTTTTGTAATTAGTTTCCATTAATTAGGGCCAATCAGGATCCAGCAGGGCAGGCGTCTGGGGAAATCATTTTTTTAGGCTCCCCTGTGCCCAGGAACTCCTTTTAACAGATGTGTTTTCAAAACCATTTAAATTCTTATACTCAATATTTCTCTCAGAGAAAATGTGACCTTTGTTTCAGTGAGTAACGTGGCGCCCCTCCTCCTCGCCATGCATTTGTGTCATAACTAGATTGGCTGTGCCTCAACCTTAAGTTATGAGCTTCCTGCAGGCAGTAAAAGAGGAAATGTCAACAAGCCTTTTCCCAGTCAAAAAAGCCCACGCGTATCTGCCTCTCCTCCTTTTTGAAAGCTCAGTAAAATCTTCTTTTCCTGTGGCATATTTCATCAGTGAGGTCTTCACTTTCACATATCCTTGTGAGTAACATTCAGATCTCAGCTGTGATCTTCTTGTATTGCAGAGCACCTGGCCCAGAACATCTCCAAGTCACACATGGAGACATGTCAGTACCTGAGGGAGGAGCTGCAGCAGATGACCTGGCAGGCCTTCCTGCAGGAGGAGGTCGAGAGTTACCAGAGCAAGGTACCACGACCACAACCGGGCCTGCGCCGGCCTCCACGGCAGTAACAGCTATCAAACCCATTGTTTTAAAGCTGATAACCCATTCTCTGTCCTATCTCTTCTTAGCCCCGGGAAGTCATGTGGCAGCTGTGTGCTATCAAAATAACAGAGGCCATTCAGTATGTGGTGGAGTTCGCCAAGCGCATCGACGGTTTCATGGAGCTGTGTCAGAACGATCAGATAGTGCTGCTGAAAGCAGGTATGACAGCCTGTCAACATGGCCTGCTGCCGTCAAACTCACCCACCACCACCACCACCCCCCCTCTGGCATTGTCACAAGAGCGTAGCTGACCTGACTGCACAAAGTCGTCTTCACACACACAGACAGTGTCACAGAGAGGAGACCCCGCCCTGCCTGTTTCCTGTCTCCGCCTCTGTCGCTCTTTATTTTCTTCTGTTCATTACATACATAGCAGGGACGGACACAGCGTTAGATAAGCAATGTTGTTCATGAGCTCAGATAATACCTATCATGACGGCTGCCATTCCCCTCTCTTTCCTCAGACACCGATGATGTCTGCTTATTCAAACTGCTCTCATGAAGACATACTTACAAAATATGAAATGCAGCTATGGCTCTGTGCACACTGTCAACTATATTTACGCATGAATACAAATGCTGAAACGCACATGCACACATACCGCACATGCAGCAAACAAACACCTCTCCTGGGTCTTTCCTTGAGTATTATTTACATTAGCACATCCAATATGAATAATTAAATAAAGACAGATCCCTTGTCAGACATGACATTTAAAACAGTAGCATCTCCCTTAGAGGCAGTAATGGCTTCTGTTACATCTTCTTGATCCTCTTATCAACTCCCACAGAGTGGTACAAAATTACAGGACAGAATAAATTCCCAACCTATCTTGCTAAATAAAGGTTGACTGAATAAACACTGTCACTACTGAATGAAGCTCAATTTTTATCTGGCATGTCATTATGGAAGAATAGCCTTCTGTCTATGATATTATCATCTGCAGAGGTGTTTTTTTTTCTCTCCCTCTGACGGCAGGCTTCTTTATGTCAAAGTGGTTGTGTTACTCACATTGTAGAAGAACAGCACAAAGCACAACCATGTGTTTTGCATCCCTTACTGATGTGTAACTGTTGGGGGAAAAAAGAAACAACTCTCAGATTCAGCATCTTGTTCCTGTCTGTCTCCACAGGCTCTTTGGAAGTTGTGTTTGTCAGAATGTGCCGTGCCTTTGACTCGCAAAACAACACAGTCTATTTTGATGGAAAGTATGCCGGACCTGATGTGTTCAAGTCATTAGGTAAGTGGAGTGTGTGTGTGTGTGTGTCTGTGTGTGTGCGTGCATGTGCACGTTTGAATGAGTTTACATTGTGTATTTGTATGCTGCTGTGTTTGTGTGTGTTTCTTACAGTGTCTTACTCCTTCCCTTGGTGTAATAGCCAAAATTAGAGTCTGCTGCTCTGTTTTACACAATGCTGAAGGCCTGGAAGCAAACACTAAGCACTCATCCCTGCCTCACCTGGCATTGCTGTCTCTGCAATGGTTATTTATGGTAGAACAGAGATGTTAGTGAGGCTCTGCTGCATATGGCTCCTGTAACTGTGGAATAAATAAAGCCAGACAGAGGGTCTTTAGGGGGAGTGCTATCAAAACCATCATTGATAGTCTGATATAAAACATCTCAGGCGAAAGCAAATAGCATTCGTGTTTGACTGCCGTGACAATAGTCAGACTCTCCACCGTGGATTTTCTCGGATTTCCAACTGCCTTTTGACGGTAAAAAATAATGTAAATATGTCCCTTGGCGGCAGTAAAAATGCTGAATTCTGGTTCTTGGTGTAAGTTTGCCATTCCGTGTATCTCCCCGTTTGTGTGTGTATGTGAGTGAGCATGTGTATCTGTCCCAGCTTGGAGAGTCCCAGTGTCCTGTGTGTTCTGCACAGAGGGGTCCGCGGCAGGGTAGGCAGAGTGATGGGCTTCCCGAGCCGCAGTGGCATCAGCCTGTCTCTCTGTATCCCCGATAATTGATTTAACTAAAAGCCTCAATAGTGACCTAATTTTGGCTTGCATAACACCACCCCAACTGCCAAAAGTGACTCGTCTGGGAGGCAAAACTCAGTAAAGGCATTGCCTGTTCTGCTTAAGACGCTCCCATGTGCTGTCAGCATGCCTCTCTTTTTCATTCCTTCCCCTTCCTCTCCCCTCCCTGCCTCTCTCCCAATAAAGATCAAGAGTGAATGTTGTTCTTTGGTCTTCCTCATCCTAAGCCCTCTCTCTGTGTCCTTTGCTGTGGCAGGCTGTGACGACTTGATCAGCTCCGTCTTCGAGTTTGGGAAAAACTTGTGTTCTATGCACCTGTCTGAGGATGAGATCGCCCTGTTCTCCGCCTTTGTGTTGATGTCTGCTGGTAGGTGTCACTCACAGTGCAAAGGAAAAAAAAAGAGGGAGACGCACATTCACCACGACAAAGAACGCTGTTGCCCTCCTGTTTTTCTCTATCAATTAGTATCTGGTATTAGTGGCACTGCATCATGAGCCAAGTTGACTGTTAAGGGGCTTTCAAGTGTGTGTTTTTGCAATAACAAGCAGTTGCGATAATTTACCTTTCAGACCGGTCTTGGCTCCAGGAGAAAGTGAAGGTGGAGAAACTCCAGCAGAAGATTCAACTGGCCCTCCAGCACGTCTTGCAGAAGAACCACAGAGAGGATGGTATACTTACAAAGGTACAGTACACTCCATCCATTATCCCTGCTAAGCATGCTCTACCCTTATAGCGGCGCAATCAACCACTGTTTAGGATCTTTATCCAGAGGCCATCAACCATTTTTAGTGCATTTGATTAAGCTTACACAGATTTCAGGGGAAGTATTCATAATGGTTCACTAAATGCCTTTTTATCAGTAGAGAAGTGGCAATTCATCAATTGTACCAGCTCCGTAATATGAAGTGTCAAGTTTTCCTCTTGCCTGAGCGCTTGTCTCAATATTTACAAGTCTGTTTGCCCCTGTGTGAGAGGGAATACACTGTAGGGAGGAATGTTTTCACTACCATTGCTCCATGTCCTTGCCTCCCTGTGAATCTAAACAGCCTGTCTCCTCTCTCTCCACAGTTGATATGCAAAGTGTCGACACTGCGAGCGCTGTGCAGTAGGCATACAGAGAAGCTTACAGCTTTCAAAGCAATATATCCAGACATTGTGCGTGCCCACTTCCCCCCCTTATACAAGGAGCTGTTCGGATCAGACTTTGAGCAGTCCATGCCCGTTGACGGGTAGCAGCCCTGCCAGGTGCCAGTGTGCCCACCGTAGGGGAATGTGGAGGAGGAATCTGAGACACTTTATTGGTGCCCTGCACAAAACCAGAGCGGACAGATGGCACGCTGTTCAACTTCTTCTTTTACTTTGAAGGGGAGGGCTTAGGGAGTTGATTCTTAAGGTTTACTTTATTGAATTTAGTTCTCTTTGGAAGACTTGTGGGACCCGACACCCCATGGGACATGAAGAGGAGATAGGGAGAAATGATTTCTGTCTGGTTGAACTTGACCCTCTTTTGCGCATTTCTATCATGATTCACTTCATTTCATTCATTCATTTTCCCCAGTATTTTTCGCATCGCCCTTGTTATGATTTACCTGTACATCTGACTTGTAATCACAGAAACAATTACTGAGTCACTTTTGGATTTTAAAAATAGCAGAAGACGTCTTCAATTTGAAGATAAATCCGCATCGGTATTGTTTTTCAGACTACATTTCCCAAACAGTTTTAGTGTTTTCACATTCAAAACTTCGAATAGTCTTATCCCTATCTCCCTAAAAACGGAAATAAACAGCTGACAAATGCGCACATTTTGGTCAAGTTCAGCCCTTTTTCTCTTGTGTTCAGTCATATCTTTTGGATGCCGTTCTTGGAATGAAAACTCACAGCGACTTTGAGGGAGGGTCTGTCGGCATGGTGATGCAATCGACACCTCTCTATGGACAATCGTTTAAAAAAAAAAAAAAGAAGCATATAGAATTCTGGTAATTCTAATGAAAACGCAATGATTTTAGCTGTCAAAGACTCCATCCACCATTGTTGCATAGTGGAATCATGTAAGGCCATCTGCTATTAATCCTTCTCTGGACAGGTGCCCTGGAGAAGCACAGGGCACCAACACAATGAAAAGGGTCCATTCCACCTGTTTTATAATGTACTACAGGGTATATGGTCATAAGTACTTACTATACAGAAAAAAATAAATGTTTATAGAATCTATTTTAAATAACATGTATGATATTAGTAGTTAGACCATTCTTAATTGTTGAATTGATAAGGCACTTTTATTTACACCTTTCTTTAATTTAAGACTTGTATATTTACCTAGTGATGTGTTGCATGTGCACAAGAAATACAAGTTGAACCACGGTCACAGAGGCTAGTCCTGGGAGCTGCAGATGATACTGGTTTGGAAGTGTAAGGGCTGTCTGTTAGGATTGCTGGCGAGGCTGCTGGTTGGTGAACAAAGAAGGCAGGTTAGAGGAGCTCTGTTGCCTGTTTACCTCATCAACGGCCTGCATGACACCTGTCAAAATGTAGCTCTGATACTCCTTTTAGAGAGAATGCACACATACAACAACCTACAAACTTTTTTTGTGACATTAAAGTCTCTTGGCTTTCTTGATCTTTGTTATGAACAGACCTGGATTGAGCGGCTAAAAAGAAAGGAAAGAATAAAGAGGTGTTGTTTGGTGAAACATTTGCAACACACTGGCGTTCATATACTACAAAAATATTTGGTACTAATTTTACTTTGAAAAACCTCACGTAATATGTAAAGAAGGCCACAAGAAAACAGAAGTTAAACATCACAGCCAGGTTTTAAAATCCACACATAGACCGTAATCCAATTGTTCCATCTAGTGGAAGGTGAAGATACAGCAAGCAGGTTGACAGCCTAATGACAAAGATATACAGTCCAACCTAAAAGCACATTCATGAGCCGCTGTCAAACTGTTCAGATTGTTTTTTGTTGTTTTTGAGTGACTTTATCTGCCTTCTCACCACAACCTCAGCCTCAGCAACGCCACAACAGGACACAGAAGGAGCAGTGAAGGGAAAGTGAATATTCAAAGCCTTGTCTGGTAGTAAAGCTTCTATTTTTGTAACATGTTTTGGTTAAAAAAAACTCATGAAAGAGAACGAGGGAGAGAAGAAGATGTCAGGTAGCACTTAACTATATTCCTGCAATAATTAGACTAGCTGTTGTTTGTACGATTAGGGGAGAAACATAAAAATGGTAGGACAAGTGCTATTTTCAGAATGCTTTGTTGTTGTGCTTCTGTTTTGTTGAGTGTGTCTTTCTTGTCAGTGTGGTAGTAAAGTGGTAGAAAAAACCCTGGATGTGCCAAACAGTAGTCGTTGCTTCCGCTTTCCAGTCTACTCGTCTATAACGTAGAATGGATTCCTAAGACATTCCAGCAATCTCAGTAGCGGCTTCGAGAAAAATCTTTTAAAAAAAGATCAAAAAAAAAAGAAAAAAAATGATATCCCTTTAGAAACCCAACAAAGCATGTTGATACATCTGTCACCAACCGTAACATAGAATCCAGTTGTTTGTCTTTTGTTTTCTGTTTGCACACTATCATTCCTCAGCCGTGCAATTTGTACAAGGCGTTAACACCTTGTGCTGTCACCCCTCAGGGAAGAGTTTCTTTTGCGCTTTCTGTTTGAGAGGACATTTGTTTGTACTCATTAGGTTTAGTTTGTGTTGTGTTTTTTTTGTCAGGGATGTTCCATGAGAAGTGGTTGAGATTTCACATTTGAATATTCATCAGAATTTTAAAGTATTGATGTCTTTAAGGGGGCCCCCCAGCCACTCAAAGACCACTGCGCCCCTTTTTGTCAAGTTCAAGAAAAATCTCATTTGTATAAACAACAAACCCCATCACTTTTAGAAACCGCAATTTTATCAGTACACAGCATATTCCTGTCACACACACACAAAAAAAAAATCTGTTTTGGTTTCAAACGGTGTCATCAGGGTCTTTAAAAATGATAACCCTCTTTGTTAGAAAAACCAAATATTCTTATGCAATACTAAATCTGTTGTGTTTGGGTTGTAGTAGATATGCTGTACCTAAGTAATAATCTCTGTTATGATCCAATGCTATTTGGATATGCACAAGCCCTCTATGACTAGTAAACCTCAGTCTCCCAGCAAAAGAAACCCAGTCTGGAACACTGCTAGACAATCCAGGTTGAGAGGCCCAGTGGCCCAGCAAGAGCAGCGAAAGAGGATGAGGTGTGAACGCTCAGGGAGGTAACAGGTAGACCGAAGAAGCAGCTCGCTTTCCTCTGGACAGTTGCCGAGCATTTGATTAGCTCTCATGCGAATTTATGAGGAGGGTCTTTAAAAATCTCTTCAAAGCACCCAATTGATAAGAGGAGGGGGCGTAGCACACTGAACATGCAGAGCATAGAGCACTTACTGTTCAGAAAATTATTGAGAGATGGAGGTTTGGCTGATATCCTGTTATTTATTTGCAAAAAAAAAAAAATTAGTTTGTTTCTAAAAAAAAATGATTAAATTTTCTTAAGCTGTTGTAATATCGCTTGATGGTCGCATAAAACGATTCATTATTTTTCTCAAATATGATCAGCTAAGGTCTACCGCCAAAACGGTTCTTCTCTCATAAAGTGAAAATTTGTTTTTCATTTTATCGAAGTGGCATGTAATGTCTTCTACGACACAAAACAAGCAATACGCCTTGTGTTACAATTACGGGTCTCTACAGTGCAGTCATCATCCTTTTTGAATTGACTTATTACTTATTCGTTCAGCTGACTCAAACTGATGACGTTAACTCTCAGTCCAGAACAAAAAAAACCCCGTCACTCTGTTTTCATCTTCTTCTGTACTGGTATGGTTGCGATATTGGCAGGATAGCAGAAAATGGTCATCAAACACATGAATACTTGTGTCTAACTATAAACTGCGCCTTCACACAGGCCTGTAAAGTGATGTCCTTCTGTATATTCTCACTTGATATATCCCAGTTTAAGTAAGGGATTGATGCTAAGTGTCCTACTCAATCAGTGTATAGTATACAGTAAAATGTGCTGGTCCTTCTGTCTCTGCTCTGTTGTCTGTGTGTATAAAGCAATAGTGTGTATGTATGCGTGTGTGTATGTGTTTGTTCTCACAGTGTGTGAATAAAATAAACCCCAGACAAGGCTTTAATAATTACAAAGGAACAGGGTTATGTGGACGAGGATTTCTTTTGGGTCTTTTTTAGAAATGTAAGGTTTTGGAAATGCCAAGCTTGATCCATCCATAATAGGTTTAGGTTTTAAAAGCATGACATAATGCCTTCAACAATTCATAGGTCTGCAGAATGCTGTGAGGCAACATTGACCAGCTTCACAGCGGAAACATGCTTCCCTATCATCTCAGACAGCGTGGCCACGGCCTGAGCTGAGATGAATTGAATTGAATTCTGGAGTGTAAATTGTGAAAATGAGTCTTCTCGGCCATAAATTGTGAAGATCAGTGTTATGTCACGCTTAAAGTTGTGCTGGAGTGTCGGTGTGTTACCCCGAAGTATGAGTCATCACATTTTTAACAGAACTCATTTTCCAAAGCACAGCTGATAAGGATTTACGATTAAAAATACGTTTAAGAATATAGTTTAAAAAAGAAAAAGAAAAGCAACTTTTAGCCATAATCGAATGTCAAGCAATAATATATGTCTTGTGTATTATTTTTGATTATTTTGTGCATAATAGTCTTTGAACATCTGCATGTAAATACACCTTTTATTTATCAACTTTTGGTTTACTTTGTGTTGATTTTGTGGATGTTTTTATGTTCCATCTGTATATTTGACTAGTTCTGTTCCCAGGTGGAGAACGAAGAACGTATTTTTTCACTCTTTCTCTCTCCCTCATTCTCAGCCGTTTATTCACCATATTTAATGTTATTATTGATCACATGTATAAAGGTAGCTTTGTAATTTCTGTCTGTATAGATAAGAGGAAAATACTGCTACTAAGGCCTACCCAGTGAAACTATTTATCTGTTTATCAATTACACCATATTGTACGATAACTCTCTAGTTTCCAGTTTGCTTCCCTCCTTTAGGATTAGTTTGATAGAGATAGGGTGTGCTGACATTTATTTTGTGTTGCCCTGATGTGTGGTGCTAGGTAAGTTCATTTTGTGAGCGAAGTATTGATTCCTAAGCCTGGCCGCCCTATTAGTCTGTTAATTTCATTGCATATTAATGTATTATTGATATTAGGACTCAATAAATGATAATGATAATAAAAATGATAGTGGTAAAATGACCCGGGCGGTACCTGTATCAGTGTGCTAGTCTTGGGATAAGGCACTTATTTCCTTCTGACTTATAGCAAAGCTAGTATCTGCTAATTAACAAACTATTTAAGGTTACTTTTACGGTTTGTGGAAAAATGATAATATTCAAACTGAAACAGCAGTATTGTGTTTTTTTCTTTGTCTGATTGTAAAAACCACTCACTGAGGCTATAGTTTGTCAGGTTTTAAGATACTAAATATTTACCTCTCTTTGTGTCTGCATAGTTCTCTACCTGATGCAGGGAAGTGGTGCTTGGATTTTATTAAACAGAGCCTCGGTATGGTTTTATTATTCCCCATTTTAGACTATCCTGAAACTGGTTTCTTCAGACCAGTAGCGTAAACCTCTTGCACCACATGAAGTGTTACAAATTTACATGAAAAAAAATCGCCATTTGAGGACAAAGTTGACCTTTTCTCTCCACTCTGTAGCAAATATCAGTGAGAATATGCTTGCAATAATACACAACGTATCACACTGAGTGCCTCTCGGTGTAACAAGATGCATACATGGTTTTGATTGTCATTTTTTTGTGGTTTTACAGACGTGTACTTAAGTGACGATGTATTTTGTACATGAGGATGAATTCTCAACTCTCACATGCTTCAAATGTTTTTCAGATTCTTATTTCATGTGATGTTAATCATTTTCACATGGGTTGACGCGCTTGATGTTAAAGGGTTTCAATGTGTAGATGGTCCGTTTAGAGTGTACATGTCGCCCCTTACCTCGTTTTTTGAGAAACGTAACTGGGAAGTTTGTTTCATGTTGATCTTGAATGGTCAAATAAATGCTTGCAGACAGAAGAGTTCACCTTTCTTTGATCAGGCAAAAACTAACAGGCAACCCACATTTCTTCAATTTCTGTTTGTTTTATATCGACTCTTTTTTTAATTTCATTGAGATTTACTAATGCATTGTATATCAAGTAGTTGTATGTGTTTGTAAAAGAGGCATACAACACATCTGGATTTCTTTAATGTTCTGTGTTCAATGTGCGCTCAGTCGGTTGGGGTAACTTAACATGAAGGGTGGGTGGAGCAGGGGTGGATTCTTTTTCCATGCAAAAGCAGTGCAAATTATGGGAAAGCCGAAACTAGTGTGTGGTTGTCACAAATTTCTAAGTCACACGTTTGCTACTGATGTTAAACTGGGGACAGATGATCATGTACCTTTTTATCCAGCTCTTTTGAACTCTCTTTAGCAGGTAGTCTATTCACAAACGTAGTTTTGCTCCTTCTTGTCTGATTCTTAAATATGAAAATAAGTATTTTGATTCATTTTGTAAATACAGCTGTAAAGAAAAATAAGAAATTTAATGTTGTCTTTTAAATACTTTTCATTCTAATATGAATGTTGTTATATTGTACTTAGAAACTGTACCTTTAATATTACCTTTATTAAAAGTGCATTGGACACATCGATTTTAGATGTGCTTTATGTGCTGTTATCCCATAATAAAATTTACCGCTTGTAATGGGCTTTTATTTCCTGACTATTTATCCGTCTCTGTTGTCTGCTCTCTCTTTGGCTCACTCTTTTCAACCAAATTAATCAAATTGTATATTTTTGATTCACAATCATTTTATCAGGCCTAACTGTTTGAATTAGTGTTTCAATATTTTGCCTAAATTTGTGCAACTGGCAATGAAAATCTAAATAAAGGTATGCCAATACTTTAACCACACACTAAAAAATACTAAGCAACCTTAACAGTCAACATTTTTTTATTTAAGACATATAACATCTCTGGGTTATTACATATTAAGATGCAAAACCATTTGACCAATATGATAACTCAATTGTGGTCATGACATATCAAATTTAAATTCAGACAATGTTCTTGTTACATGATTCATCAGTCAAAATGTGTTGATTAATGAGACTGAGCAATTCTTTCCAATTACAAAATTATGAAACTAATATTCCCTGCAAGGCATTTTAACGTTTCATCTCATTTTCCTATCTAACCTTGGACATTTTGATAACGCAAAATGAACTGCAATATGATACATTTGAGGAAAATAATTTAAAGTGGACACAAATCATACCTTAAAATATTTGCAAAGATGTCAGAATTTTATCATTGACCAAATGCAGAAGAATAGCAAGACCAATAGGAGGGTTTGAGCCATATATGTACAGATAATGCCCATGATGCTATTGTTTCTAAAGCTTTATAATTATTTGTTATATTATATTTATTATATTGTTCAGCAAAACAATGGTGGATGTACCCAAGGTAAATGCCTGAGCCAGGTGTGGATATGAGCATTAAGGGTGAAAAATGCAAGAAATCAGGCCTGTTTAGAAAGTGTCTGTTCAGAGACAAGATACTGACTGCAGCAAAAAGGGCCTTTCATAACTTTAAGTAAAAATAATTACTTTAAACAGACATTAGGACACTGTGTCCCGCTGAGACATACAGTGCTGGTGGTTCGGAACACAATGGGATGTCATCAACTCTCTTTCAGATGAGCTGGAGGAGGACGGTTATTGAACACCTTAGTCAAGGTACAGAGAAGGAGGTTCTTGTTTCAGGGACCTGTGTTTACATCATAGGTTTAAATGCACGATAAATAAACTATCGTCAATGTCCGGAAGGGGCAGCAAAGCATACGGAGCGCGTTATGTCTACATAATTTCACCAGACGAAGAATGTCACCTGTCAAACGTTTGTTAGCTGGCTAACGCTAACTCGTATATTTACAGTTGCGTCATTCTTAAGGACTGCTTGTTAGTATTGACCACAATGGAGCTGGTATGGTGAGTAATATTGTCACTGTAGTATTCAGAATATCATATTGGTAGATTGAGCGACAATTCAGGCAACCTACATTAACTTTGGGCTAGCTAATGTTAGCTAACAAGCTAGTTAGCGCCCCAGTGTTGTGGAGAGACTGACTGGCAGCTAGCTATGCAACCCAAGTGTTATCCAACTGAACTAAAGTTAAACTACTTGGATATTAAAAATGCACTTAACCGGACAGTGTGTTACTGTATTGCAGCTATTATTCGTTAACGTGCTTGTATTTATAACACGAGTCTGAACCAGGGAAGACAAAACGAGAGAGCTGCATCATGCTAAACTTAGTTTACAGTCAAGCTTTTTTAATGTGACCGGAAGTTTACGTTAACAATAAGATAAACACAGTATTTTTTTTAATTGACCGAAATGTGCGTTGATTTTATAACTAACTTATAACTAATACAACATATACTGGGCATATGTGTTCTTACTTCCGGACGCTAAGTTGTTGTGAGTTAAAAATTGTACGAATGACAACAACGTCGCGATTACGTTAATATTAGCTCTTATTTTGAAGGTTTACACGTGCTCTGTAGCACGTGTGGAGGTAACGTTATTTACAAACCGACTACTAATTTACAGGTAGCGTTAGCCTAATTTAATTACTCCGTTATCACAAGTAACATTATGAAACATTTTAGAAATTAAATCCTGTAATTTAACTTCAATACATAACACCACTGGCCTTATCCCGAAGCACAAAAGCGTTACATATTTTGTCATATTTAATTTAGATAAAGGGTAGATCTTTGGCTATTTGAAATCAATCAGGAAGAAACCAACACAAATGGCACAATTTAATTGTTTATTAAAACATTTTGGCACCAAATATAGATTGCTTACTTCCCACAGCTGTTGCTTGTTGGATGTCCATCCAGTAAAAAATAAATGTGAAATGTGTGTACAGTATGATTTATTTATTTGACTTTCTACCCTACAACAGAAATTTGTAAACACCAATTAAGTTCTCCTGTTCTACATGCCAACAGAAGTCTTTGCCAGTATTAAAGCAGTACAGAAACAGGCTCTTTAATATGATTTATTTTCTCTTTTTAATTTAAGGGAGGACCTTCCAGTCCCTGAGGCTCCTTTCTTTATCAGAGACCTCTATGACAAATATTCACTTGCACCTAATATCAGAGAACTATGGACCTTTCTCCAAAGGTATGTCAATGATTAAACATATTAAGTAATACATCAGTTCAGGTGCATTTTTTCCTGTGTAATTAGTGAGTGTTTATCTTCCATGTTGTTTTTCGCCAAAGTCCAGTGGAGAACAATAAACAGGGATGTGGGACTGCAAAGGCCTCCGGCCCTCCTTCCACAAAAGCAGCTGCAGAGTTCAAAGACAACGGTTGCATCAGAAAGGATGAGTTGGATGGCTGTGATAGTGATGATCCGCGTGTAGACAATGCTGCTGGAGTTACAGAAGAATGTAAGGATACTAAAAAATCCAGAGTGAAGCTCAAGCAGGTTGAGAATGAGACGGTTGCTGCTTATCCTGAACCCAGACTGCCTATGCCGTTTATGTCCAGCCTGTCCAGCAACGAACAGAAGACGTATCTTGGCATTTTGATGAGTAAGAAAATAACAGATCCTCCACAGGTAACAGCATTATCTCCTGGTATTTTTAATCCTGCCAGACCTCGTTGCATCCCTTCTTTATCTTACGTGCTCTGATGTTTCAGAACTTGAAGGCACGGGTAAACAATGAAGTGATGCAGTTCATGAGGTACCTGCAAGATGTGGCCAAAATATGTGCAAACGACTACAACTTCATATCACAGGGAGCTATGCAATATTCAGAGGTACTGATACAAGGATTGCACTATATGTATGTATGTATGTATGTATGTGTATATATATATATATGTATGTATATGTGTGTGTATTTTTGCATAAGCATTCAAACATTGAGCCCTGATTTGTGTTTCAGGAGTTCTTCAGGGGGTGTTTGGAGCACATTCAGGCATTTCCTGAGCTCTATCAGATCTATGAGATGACTAGTTTGACAGGCGGAACATTCAACCCAGGCCTGAAGCTGACCTTTGAGAAACAGCTGCTGATCATGGTAATCTACCTTTTGAAGTGTTAAGTATCACACAAGAGCTGTTCCTTAATAACAGATATGTAGGATAACTACTTCATATACATACATGTTGTTCATAGATGCCATTGTCCAGTATTCTACTCAACCGTTACCACTTTGAAGAGTTGAATTGCAGAATCAGTCTTTCGGTGTTGATTCACTTCCTCTATTTCCATGTTTGTACCCTTTTTTTATTTCTCCAGGGCAATGTGGATATTACAGACCACAAGATGGTGCCTGCTGATGCACAGCTTGCATCGGATTATCAGAGTGTTTCATCAGAGAATCCTCCAGCTAAAAAAGCCAAGGACATGCACGCTGTAAGCAGTTGTCTCGCTTTTTTAATTACCTCAATAAAGTAAGTCACGAAGATGTTTTACGGCTAGAATGGGATTCATGACCGCAGGTCTATTGTTAAATCCATTTTAGCTCTTGCAGTTTTCACAAAAGACACCAGAGGGTGTTCATGTCTTGCTCAGCAAAACCGATGCTAATTGTGTTTCTGAAAGATGCTGGGACACACACACACGCACACACGGTACTGTCAAAAGTCCAGTTCATTGTAGACGGTCGTGTTTGACTGATGGAGTCAATGTTCTGGTCGTGTGACCTAGTCTGGTTTTTCTCCACAGAAAATCAGCACTGATAGTAATGCCGAGAGTCTGTCTGCCCGCTATGAGCCTGAAGTGTGCCTCACTCGAGATGCCCTCGTCAGGCTGCTAGACAACCATGGCCCTGACTTTGGAGAGCAATGGGAACTGCCCGTTTGTGTCCAATCAAACCCAGGAAAAGGTACAGCATCATCAGTCGGACATTCAGGCTGTCATAGTGGAAGTTATGTTAACTAGGGCCAATTTAGGCTTTGCTTTCATGAGTAAAAATGCTAATAAGTACCAGACATCTCCTTTATTCTCTCACTCTCTTGCTCTCTCTCTTCTTTGTGTTGCTGTTCACTTTCAGTCATCAAATTCCAGAGAATAATACAAATAACAGTGTGTGTGTACAAAAAACGTTAAAACAGAAGCCTATATTAGGAGTTGCATAAGGATCTACACATATATGTGACATAAGGTTATTACGTTCACCATAAAGAACAACACACGTTTCACATTAGCAGCACATATACAGATTTGGCAAGATAGTCGTCTGATTGTCCTTTTGAGGGGGTGAGACAATTTGACTGATGTTGGCACCAGTAAAGAAATCTGAGATAAAGCACAGTGTGTAGTGACGTTGAATGGCCTCATGGTGGCACTGTTTCACATTTCCTTTTTGTTTCCCCACATCTTATTCACAGGCAGCAGTCAGAAGAAGAAGACGACTGTGTACATAGACTCGCCCCTGCTGCAGACTAAAGTGACAGTACGAGAGAGGTCACATATCTACCACGAGGAGAGTTTGAAGCTTTCCATCAAGAAGAACGGCAGTAAAAATGTGTTCCATTTAATGACGGAGCTTCCTGAGGATCACCAGCAACTCCACGCCGTATGTAGACGCACAAATAGAAGTCCTATACGTGGTGTCATGTACGGGGTCTTACTTCACCTGAACAATGATTCTTTGTTTTCTGTTTCTAAATCAGGAGAGGTCACAAAGAAACTTGGTGTCTTCTGGAAACAATGGTCTTGACTTTGAGGTGGACCTCGCTGACCTGGAAACATTTGGAGAGGCGCCCTCCATTAAAACCCCCAAGATGCAGAATGCATGTGTTAAAAGTTCAAACGCTCCAAGTTCCCCGCCTTTAGCTAAGACGAAAAAGTCCAGTGAGCATCTTGTAAACACTAGCAGCAGTTCACAAGAAGAGATGGACACCGCATCGACAGATGTGAATGGTCCCGTGAAAGAGGAGAGTGAGTCCACTGCCCCCAAAAATGAACAAATGAGGTCAGACACTGCTCAACAAAGTGACGAAGACCTACCTTTTATAGGAGACTCGGATGATGAGAAGCTGGTCATTGATGACTCGGTGTCTCCAGCTAGCGCACGGACCACGTCACGCTCTGCAGACCCCCCGATAATCCCCGTCTCCGAGTCTGTACTTATAAACCCTGAGTCAGCGTCCCCTCAAAAAGGTACGAAGCAGAGGCGACAACTCAAAAGAGCAAACGTATCTGGCGACCAGCTGGGTGAGATCCTGCGCATGCAGACTGCCATGTTCAACTCTCCCAGTGACGCAGCCAAAGGCTCCACCATATCCCAGGAAACCAACTCACCCACCCGATGCACGGGACCCTCGGTTCACTCCCACACAGTGTCTCTGGTGAAGCCCTGCGTGTCCTCATATTTGGAGAGAAACCAGAACCAGGATGGAGAGACCTGCGTATCTGCACCAGTGGTCAACATCACTACTACGGAGCACAGAAGTTAGTTTCAAGATTTCAAATTCAAAAATTCAAATTTTCATTCTGTGGATTTAGGTTGTGTTTATGTGCTCGATTAACATAGTTCATCATTACCTCCCACACAGAAATCCTGTCGCAAGACCTACAGGCTGGTACTGAAGATGAACAAGACTACCAGGCTCCAGAGGAAGGAAACCTGCTCTATAAGCTCTACAGTCTGCAAGATTTGCTGCTCATGGTGCGCAGCTCTGTCTCACTGACCCATAACAGAAAAGTAGGCCAGAACAGCCAAAACCAGGTAGATATGTTAGTTCAACTTCATCCTCCAGATTGTAATAGTGTCTTTTCACATATTAAAGTATAAAATGAATATATATGCAACAGCCTTATTTCTGTCTGTTTTCTTCCCCAATAGTTTGTGCCAGTGCATGTCTTACCCAAGCTGGAGTACCAGTTGAATTATGGTGTCGAGTGTCTGAGCAGCAGCGAGGCTTGCCAGCTGTGGACTGAGACATTGCTCCACTCCAGCACTGTATCCTACATAGGTACGAAAAAGCTCTTATCACTTCTACCTGCAATCATTTTCTTTCTAAATTCAGTGAAAATTAAGAAAGAAATGCTACCAAATTGCTCTCAGTTCCAGTGTAGGAGGAGTATGCCTTCAACCTTTCATTTTGTTCAACATTATTGCCAGGAAAATAGTCAAAGTACTATTTCCTGAGAGGGTTCAGTGGAGTCCACATGGCACATCCTCCCACCAACCAATGGAATAGTCTTTAGATGACTCACCATCCTGCTGTGGCTGTGTAGTGAATGAGTTTACTTTGTTGCCATAACTACAGCCACATTTGATTGTGGGGAGTTGCAAAGCAGAGCTCAGCTAAATGTTGTTTTGAACTTCAGTTAAATTCCCTTAATGCTTACGTGTAGCTCAAAGATCTATCCCGTTCCTGTACTAGGGTCACTGATGTGTGGACCCGTGTAGGTGTTGGCTGGGAATGTACGTCATCTCCCCTGCTTCATGATTTAATGGCAAAGAGCTATCTCTGGGTTATACCCCTGTCCAGTCTCCTGGCATAATTAACATACTAGGCAGGATCTCTCATCAGCGTCACTGACAGTACAACAAGTGTATATCCTGGTTTCTTATGTTCAGCTTCAGGAATAGCCAGTGAGAAAACAGTGATCATTTGCCAGCTATATGCAAATATATCGATTATTTCTATAAATAAAAGACTTCCTTCTTTTCTAAGTGGTTCGTAGTTCATCATGGGGTTCATCACGTGGCATTCCCCAGTTGTGTATTTCTGGCTGTGGGTGCCGGCCCTAAAACAGCCCATAATTGAAGGAAGGCCCTCTTGAAAATAAGCAGACATTACATGCTGGAGTGGGAGGCATGAAAGGAGACAGGACCAACAAGCTTCTCTTACCACCCACTCAAGAGTGTAACAATGCAGGCGAATCAACAGCGACTAATTACTTTGTAAGCACTAGAAATGGGATTGATGATGAAGGGAAGCTCGTGATGTGCATGCTCATTAGATCTCGTTGCTTTCTCCGTGCGTCGCTCAAACCCTCCCGTTCTGTCTCTGCAGCTCACATCAATGCGCACACATCAAAAGTAGCTCTGCTGAGAAAGCTGCCTGACGACTGGAAACAGAACGTCTCCTGTGGCTTCAAGTGAGTGTCCTTACAACAGATGTGCAGATGATTGGGATTAGCCTCATCACCCCTGTATGATTATTTAGTTTAAGAAGTTGTCATCTTGAGAGTTAATCAATAATCCAAGCCTTTTCATCAACCTCTGGTTTTGTCATCTTAATTAGTGTTGAAATTTAGATTACCACTAATGTAGACAGACTGAAAGTAGAGGGACTAAAGCTTGTGATGTCTCTTCTCCATCCACAGGCCATCGAAGTCCCTGAATATACTGCACCACCTACTGAAGAAGCTAACTGGGTGAGTTGTTGAAGACATTCTTTGTCTTGTTTCAGATTATTAGTGCTGAGCTCCTCTGTCCTCATTGCCCCTATTTATTTATTTATTTATTTATTTATTTTTTAATTATGTTTTGGGTTGTCCATCCGTTCATCTGGACGTCTGTTTGTAGGTATGTCCATCTGTCCTATTATGAACGCAATATCTCAGGAACGTCTGGAGGGAATTTCTTCAAATTTGCATCCACTTGTACACAAGGATGCACTGATTAGATGTTTGTAGTTGAACATTTATTCTCTTGTAAGTCTTTTCGCAAAAACATAATTTTTGCAGAATGAATGTTTTTATTGTCTGACTTTACAGCTTTACAATGTGTCCTTATGGAAGCACAGAACATATTTAATGTGTATGAAAAAAAGATATATGTATGAACTAATATTGTTTAGTTGGGCCACATCTGCAGAAGAGTTGTCTATCTGTCTTCATGCTCTGTTTAAGATGTCTGGTCAGCCTCGGGCTAAAAACACGACATTAGTTTCCCTTCATCTTTGTGTTGCGTTACGCAATCGATGACTCATCGACACACAATACATATGTCACCTTCTGCTTTCTTAAGACTCTGTTCACCCCCCATACCAGTCACTTGGCAGGAAACTAAGAATGCTGCATGTTTCAGTGTGTGGGTTTTGACTTTAACACACCATCAATGACTTGGTTTGTTTTTTTGTAGGTTAGAGGAAGGACAGTACCTGATTGCGCACAAGGCAGGGGAACCATTCGTGACCTTATTAAAAGCGGCTAATGGGAAAGTGAGTCGGGGGGCATACAACCTGCAGCAGCTCCACAGCTCAGTGCCCCAGCCCCCAGCGTCCGGCCTCGTGCCCTGGATACCTGTTGATCCAGCTGTGGTCCTGCCCTTCCACCACAAACATGGCCGTGTCCCCTGCACCTTCCCACCAAAAGCCTTCATAAAGGTGTGTACTTGATAGATGACACGGTGGAAAAAATACAAAAGCACTGGTTGCACAAGTGATGGCAAGAGATGATAAGTTGTTTGAACTAATAGGAAGGGTTTTATTGGTTAAAGCCTAGGAAGTCCACACCCACGAACACAGGGATTCTTTAAAGCCAAGATAACTGACATGCAGTCTCTCTCTCTGAGTTGAAGTGAGTGCAAAACTCTTGGCTGTTTTCTTAACAGACAGGCTGAACCAGCACACTACTGCGTAGTTTTCCAATGCAAGCCCACAACTAAACGCAGGAACAATGGAGAGCACAGGAATATCAACAACAGCTCAGCAGGGTTAGTGCTGTAGACTCTGCCACATGGAACTTTAGGCAGGAATCCAACGATTGTCTCAAAGATATTTAAACTGCTTTTAACTTGCAAGGGCAAATATTTCGCAATAAGTTTCAACAGGGCAATTGGATTGTCAACATTTGCCACAGATGCTTCTACTTCTGAGAATGACAAATGTACAAATCATTTGAGAGTACGATGCTACTGAAATTTAAATCTGCAACCATTTTACCTGCCTTTATCCTACCAGACAGCGAAAGATGGGGCATCGCAGTCCAACAGCCATGGAGCTGGGCAGTCACCGAACAAATCCAATGCAGGAGGCAAGAAGAAGAAGAAACAAAAGAAACGTGCAGCCAGGCGTAGCAAGTATATAAAAAAGCTACTTCAGAATTCCATTTAAGTCCTATCATTTCATATCGGGTGAGTCAGATGAGGAGTTGGACCTGCACTGCCAAGGAAAGGAGAGGAAACAAGACCACTTATTGAATCTGGTTTTCATACTGGAAATACATTATGACCTTAAACATAAAATGTGAATTCTGAAGCACTTTGAGAGTACAGAAAATATACCTTTTTTTTTTTATATTTTAATTTTGTTCAGAGACATGTATATTTTGTTAATCGTTGTGTTTTGTGAAAACAATAAACTTTTGTGGAAGTATCCATATGGGGTAAAGTTACTGTCTTCACATCTTTATAACCGTGTGTGTGTGTGTGTGTGTGTGTGTGTGTGTGTGTGTGTTGTGTGTGTGTGTGTGTGTGTGTGTGTGTGTGAGAGAAATGTTGAGCTTCAGTGGTAAAGGGTGGAGTCATGAGTGCTTGGAAAGGGGAGGTGAAAGGGGAAGTATTTTTCTGTGTCAGAAAAGTTGAACCTCCACACCCATTCCATTTATACATCGCCTGGACAAATCACTGCATCATCTCAACGTTGACAACAAAGGTAAGTTCAGTGTCGTTTTACATTTTAATGCGGACTAACTGACTTTGTAACTGAGATGTAACACGGCAAGGAGGTTTAAGGGAATTTCCCAACTTTCAGTCATGGCAAATGATTTCCACATGATTTCCATTAAGTCTGTGTGAACGTGTTTTGTTGTTTTATTTTCTTGAGTTTTGGTTAAGTAAGAATGAATCCCTGCTCTTCAGTGTGAGCCCGCTACCTGTTTTCTTGCACGTGAATGTGCTCAGTTGTTTTACCAGACTTGAGTACAGTAGCACTTTTTCCAGGGTGTGTCTCTGGGATGGCTGTTAGAGATGTGTCACACTGAACCAGGATTTGAAAGACCTAGGGGATTGTGAGTAGTAGTGTCTAACCATTTTACTGTGAATATGGCAAAGCAGTGGAAACTAAGGAATACAGTAACTTGATGAAATGGAAAGTTTTGTACCAAAAGCAACAACTTAATTGAATCAAATTTCTCTACCTCTGTGTAGAGGACATTTGCTTTGTGGGGTCAGGTGATGAGATCTTGAGACAAAACAAACATTGAATGAAGCTCAGACAAGTTGGTGACGGGATTACAATGAGATTTGATTACAGGATTTTGTAGTGTTGACACTTTTTTGCCCCCTTTTCCAGGAGTCACAATGGCTATGGTATCAGAGTTTCTGGGACAGCTCTCTCTCAACATTGGGGTAACGTCCTATATTTAATTCTTGAAAACTCTTATATAATACATGGTGTACCTTTTTAAATACGTATAAAAAAAGATGGCATCAATTTGATCTCACTCTGATTTGCTTTGGATCCTCAGGCCCATGAACCCACGTTCCCCACTGTGGTACCTGCTATGGATTTTGACCCTGACAGAGATGCTGCCAGAATAGACACTGCTATCAAAACCAAAGGTAAGATGTAGTACTGTACATGTTGCTTAAAATAAGAAATCCGTGCTTGGTTCTGCTAGTCTCTCTACAGATGAGTAGCTGGTATTTGTGAGTCAGCATCCTGGCTTAAAACGTTTTGACCATGCTGGGAACACCTCCAAGTCTGCCTCAGTGCTGGCAGAGCTGGGAGCCACTGGCAACAGTCTGGACGCGAACTCTTCAACAGTCCACCATTTTGTTGTTATGAAGAATAAGTTCTATGTTTCTTTACTAATGACGTTTGACGGGGGAAAATACCTTGTGACCACATCATGTGTTAAAGCAGGCAGGCTAGCTTTGCTACCAGGCCCTCTTATAATTCTTTATTGTTATTCTTCAACATGCACTTTAAAAGTAATTCAAGATAAATCCACACACACACACATGTTCAAAAGACTCCAAACCTGTTATATGGCATTTACCATTTTAGCCCACAGAATGTCTCACAGCTCAGTTTTTTACCTTTTAAAGTTGAATATAGTTGTGTGTGTCTTGTTCATTCCAACATGAACAGGAGTGGATGAACAGACCATCACTGACGTCCTGACAAAGCGGACTTACTCACAAAGAAGAGACATCGCTTTTGCGTATGAAAGGAGGGCAAAGAAGGTACAGTAGGCCTCGAGATGCAATCCAAAATGCTTCACAGCTATTAAAAGCAGTGTCGGAGACATTCGGGTAACATTGTTTTATCTTTAGGACATGATCTCAGCCCTGAAGGCAGCGCTGTCTGGCTCTCTGGAAACGGTGATCCTTGGATTGATGAAGAGCACGGCCCAGTACGATGCCTCATTGATCAGAGGCTCCATCAAGGTAAAGGACACAGATTGGTACACAATATCAGCAGATCCGATTTAAAGGTTACACTGCCCCCTTCTGGAGAAATGACAGAACTTGCTATAACTTGATATAAGTTATCATTGTGTTTATCCTAAAGTTTCATGCATAAAAAAGTAACAAAGATTTCTGTCTCTTTCAGGGTGCAGGAACAGATGAAGAGACGCTGATTGAGGTTTTGTGCTCACGCAGCAACAATGAGCTGGTGGAGATCAAGAAGGTCTACAAGGAGTGTACGTTCAAAACATCCCAGTCATTCATACGAAGGGCTGGAAATGCATTGTAACATGTAATGCCTCACCTATAGGTTGTTGTGTCATTTATGCACTATTAGGCTATAGTACAGGTTATCTTTCCCCATCAAAAGTCTTGTCTTAAATGTTCTTGAACCAGAAATTGCACAGCTAATGTGATTACTCTAGATACGCAGAGAAAGCTAAATGTCTAAATTGAAAGCATTCTTTCCCACAGTGTTCAAGAAGGACCTGGAGAAAGACGTGGCAGGTGACACCTCTGGGAACTTTGCTAAGCTGCTCTTGGCTCTGGTGCAGGTGAGATTTGTCAGTGATCGTCTTCATGATTAATACAACACCAGACAGTTTAACCTGAGTTTGTGTCTTATTTCTGTGCAGACCAAGAGAGCAGAACCGTCCTCTATGGTAGACTATGACAAGATTGATGAAGATGCCAGAGTAAGTTGCCCATTTTCACTCTGTCATGTGGAATCTAAAATACATCGATTTTAAACACTGTCATTTTAAAATCCTTTGTGCATTTGATAATATTGAGCTCATTCAATAACAATTTTTAATTTTAGTACCTTGATATTTAACAGTAGTGACAACACTTCTAGCCACAAAGTGTAATGTGTTTTGTTTTGCTATTTCATTAATTCCTCTCAGGCACTCTATGAGGCTGGGGTGAAGATAAAAGGAACTGATGTGCCCACCTGGATCTCCATTATGTCTGAGAGAAGCGTACCCCACCTGCAGAAGGGTAAGACAGCCTGTTTTTGTATGGTAGCGTGTTTACAGAAGTGTTTATTTATTTATTTTTTCTTAAATATTTGAAAAATACCCATTAACAATCAGTAAATCACTTTGTTTCCCTCTGCATGTTAGTGTTCCAAAGGTACAAGAGTTACAGCCCCTACGACATGCAGGAGAGCATTACTAAGGAAGTCAAAGGAGACTTGCAAAGGTCCTTCCTGGTGCTAGGTACACATTATCTTTTATCAATAATTCATATTATTAATACATTACACCCTGTTTAGTAATTCCTGAAGTAAATATTCCCCATGTAGGCCAGGTATTGTTGTATGAAGCACTTCTAAAATTACAAAAGAAAATCATCTGTCAAATACAAGACTATTATTGTTATTGTGGATATTTATTCAGTTTTTCTTTTTTTCCAGTTAAGTGCTTTGAAAACAAACAGCTGTACTTTGCCAGCAGACTGAATGAAGCCATGAAGGTACACTGTTCTATTTCTTCTTGTGGAAATGTGGCTATTTTGAGGGCCAGACTTTCTTTTGGAATAGATGTAAGAAGTACATCTGCTTTTGAAAGTGCAATTTTGCTGCAGGAACACAGAATCCAAAAGTTGGCAGAAGTTATCTTACGACAGCGTTGCATCAGCTGCTGTAGTTGAGTTGAAAGCGTGTACAACTTGTAAGTGCTGACTTGTGCTTGTCTGCTCAGAGTAAAGGAGCCAAAGAGAAGATGGTGACCAGAATTATTGTGTCACGCTGCGAGGTGGACCTGAAAAAGATCTGCTCTGAATACAAGACCAACTTTGGAGAGTCTCTGCAAAAGACTATTCTGGTTAGTGAATTATTCAGCCTGCCCCTGACCTCTTACTGATTTACAGTAAGCCTTCTTTTGTCATGCAGCACCTCCAACCTGCTCTGTTTCTGCAGGAACACACCAAGGGAGACTACCAGAAGGTGCTGCTCGGCCTGTGCGGACCAGAGGAGTAAAAATGAATCATCAGTATCAAAAGGGCCTCACGTTGCACCTCTGGAAAGGTGGGCTCATGAATATCACACTCGGAACGAACTCTGCGGAAAAAGCCTGCCCTTTCTTTTCTGCACACATTTAAATGCAACATTTAAGGAGATGCGTTTATCTCATATCTCGAAACATGAAGAATCTGTATTAAAGCGTACCATTTTGTACCAAAACGGCAATAAAGTTGCTTTGTAAGAGTATTGTTCCTTACTTTCTTTGCATTCCACCGCTTTGTTCTGACATTGTTGTATGTTGATGACACAGATAACCATTAGAGGGCGCTATAGTAGCATTAAAAGCAACAGCAGATAGCTCCAGCTCCTCCATGTCTCGGGCCTCATGGTATCTGATATCTGCGGAGGAAATGCAGAGAACACACATTTTTGAATATAATGAAATATTTTTTTTTTTACGTTCCATTATCATTTCCCCTTATTATTCTAAGTAATAAATTAAGAGTAAATACATGAAACAGCCATTCAAAGGACATATATTTTATTTGCACAAAGGATGGAAATATTACTATTTTGCAGTTTGCCAATTTTTAAAACCATATTTGAAATTATGGTATTTAGATTCAAAACTGCACCAACTTGAAGATGTTTTACTTTGTGAAAACAGTCATGTATGATCCATACAGCATCTTTTCTTATGAAGAATTAAGATTCAAATCGTCCACACTTTCCACTATGAGGTTCCATCAAGATGATTTAATCATTAGTGTGTTTTTCTGTGTTTGTTTGGTGCTAATATTTTAATTAAAAATGTTAATTTTACCTCCGGCAAAGATGATTTGCATACCACTAAACAAGCTTCTATACAGTGTGTTTCTGCTGTTTAGTTTGTGGTCTCTCAGGATGAAATAACCACCACAGTGTTGTCAAGGCATTTCTACTGAAGTATAAGAAAAAAAAAATGGCCCCAAAAGGCAAGATCAGAAATGCTGAACACAGCGATGAGGAAAAGGATGTGAGGGAAAGCGCATGGACCTTATAATCTAAAATAGAGTGGTGTACTGTGGCTCAAATGTGATAGAAGATCATCTTCTATTGTGAGAGAAATTGTCCCATAAAATAATGCTTCTGTCTGATATTTTCACTGGTTGAGTAGCTGAGGAGAGAAATGGCTTCAGATTTTAACAAGGCACTGGATTTATGATCATTTTGTAATAGTATTGATGAGAACATTAGCCTTTTGTGATGTTTTATGTTTATAGGCAATAAAAAAATAAAATATAGTGTAAAGTTAGGTAAAACAGTATTTTGCAAAGCAAGGAGTGCGATTTATGCGCAAGTGTGGTGACAGATTAATCTTTGCATCATAAAGAGGAAAGTCGCACCATATTTTTCCCTTTTTTTTATATAGATGTACAACATGCTGTTCTGTTCAAGGCCAGCCCGTTGGGACCTCCAGCAAACCCAAGGGGAACTCTCTTCTCAATTGAAACGATGCAATTTACTGTCCCAAACGCTGGCACTTCATCATTCAGAGGACTTTAACCCCATGAATGTCAAACACGGAGCATGCTGGGAAAGGAGATGGAATACCTCGCATTACCATAACAACTAGAACCAAATGACAAGCACTCTGGAACCTAAAAGGTGAAGAATAATACCATATAATCACCTAATAAGGATTGCATTTGAGAGGAGATCTCTGATTACTTTATGTTCTTTTTTGAATAATCAAAGACACTGATAAGGACCAGTGACCATTCCCAGCTGTCAGGCTGCTCTGTTGCGGTGGTTTTAGCATGAAAGGTCAGACAAATCCAGTTACCTTTTCTAATACTTGTCCCAGTTAGATTGAACATGTGGATAGCTTCCCCCCCCCCCCCCCATTCGCCTCAGAGACAAAGCCCAGGCAGCGCTGCAGGCATCCAGCAGCATTAAAGTTTCACAGTACAGCTGTAGAGCTGCTGTCGGCCCGCCAGACACACCAACTGCACATTGGGAAGGTTTTAGTTTGTGCTTTTTATTAATTGATTGCATTGAACAGAGCTTGCAACTTAGAGAACCGACAGCGTCTGAACGTTCCTTCTCATCTCCCTCCCTCCTTGACACATCTGAACCCGGCTCAGAATTTTTGTGCAGAGCACCAAAGGGTGTTTAATTATAGAGTAGCGGGCCACCAAGGTCTGCTTTTAATTGTGTGCATCTGTGTGTGTGTGTGTGTGTGTGTGTTTGCCCGCAGCTCTATAGGTCGCAGGCATACTCTAAATGAGAACTCCTACAGGCTAAGCTGGAGGACCCGCTCCTTCTACACAGCTGCAGAGTCGAGAGAGCCAGAGTTTGATTAATATTTTCTTAATTATCATTATTTAATTCAGCCAAACCAGAGCTTCTTCAGTGAAAGTGTGGCCTTTGTCTCTGTGAAGCTGAATACTCTGGCTCGTTAAGGGCACTGAGAGATCCTGTATATGGTAAATAAGAGGTTGTGTGTTATGCTGCTGCCCCAGGGAGAGTTGGCACCACACTGAAGGACATCTCCTTCTAAAGAATGCCGCTCTGCTGATGTTTCTCTGCGCAGACCGTAGAGCCGGATCCTCCGCCTCTGGCTTCGTCAGGCCCGTTTCCTTTTATGAGGCTCAAACTGAGACAACAGCACAGGCAGAAGAGCGCTGTGCACTCGTCATGCCATCAGGCTGCCTCCTTTGTACAGTAGACTGGTAATTGAAACAACATAAGAGAGCAGAATAAGGCCTGTCTCCTCTTCGGTTTTGGCTGCAGTCAGTCCATCTGCAGGAAGAAAAAAAAACGTGTCAAGAAGTTTCTAAAAGAGCTTTGTGTAACATGCAACACAGTGTATGTCTTTGAAGAGTTCAGCTTCTGTCGTCTTTAGAAGCCACAAGGATTCATGAGAAGATTATACTTGGTGCAAGCTGTGAATTTGCTGCTTAACCTCAGCCTGTTTAATACAGTGTTTAGTGGAGAAAGATGATGCTTTGTTATTAATTGTAGATTGAATCAATCATGTCTGATACTAGTCACAATCCAGTTTGTTAAAAAGCGTGCCTGGAGACATAACCAGACTTTTATATAGTTTATCAGATCAGCAGTATTTGATGCTCAGGGCTGGATTGGATGCTGACTTCTCTCTTTGCTTGAAGCTTCCTCTCCATAGCCGTGTGCTGAAGGGATGAGAATACCCTGTGGCTGGTTAACCTACACGCTTTCTATCTATATCCACCGTCTCTCCTCCTCCAGTCGGCCCACAGAGACGCCCCTCATCCCCTGTGCCTATTCTGCCACTCGCCGCCCTGCCAAACACGCAAAAGGGAATTTTCTGACAAAGAACCACACTTGCAAAGATTGTTGTAATCCACTGGGTTTGATCATATGTCTGACATAGGAAACACAGGGTCTCTGTTTTGTATCATACAGGATGCATGTATGCATAAAGTGTTAATCTTTTGATGGCGCTTGCGTGGCCCCCAGCCAGACGCACTAATGATAATTTTCTGTGAAGTGGTTGTAATTGTCTGGCCCAAGCATCAGCAGCTCCTCCGTTGTTTGCACATACCACTGGATCAGTTTGGGTGTGTGTACTTTGCAGCGATGGTGATAATATACCAAGAAACTGCAAGGGGAGGACAGTCTTTATCAGCCTGGCATATTAATGTTTATTTACACCATGGCTAATAAGATGTGTGCTCCACAGCTAGGTGAGACAGAATGATGGTGGGTAATTAAACTGCTTTGCTTTAGATTCATCCATTATCCATACTCAAGCCTGCATACATAATGTAATAATGTAAAATAAGGCTTGTTGCAGCGGTGGGTGAGGTGACCATTCTGAGGTGTTTTCATCCTCGGAGCACAGTGTAAATCAATATGGCGTGTCACTGCATACACAAGGTATACAGATCGCTGCGATAAATTTGGGAATTGTCAAAATGTGTATTCAGAAGGGAGTGAGATATAACCTTTTACATAATGCAATTTTGAAAGAACTCAAACACACTGACAAGACTCATTTGTGTTGCAGCGTTTGGCTTACAACCTCTAACCTGTTGGAGGTACGGGATTGACTGAGTGACTGATGACGCTTAATCCCATCTACTGAAGGCAGGCCCTGTCACCAATGTCCTTGTCGGACTGGCCACTGGACCCTATGCACATACACACACACACACACACATACACACACACACACTCACACACACACACACACACACACACACACACACACACACACACACACACACACACACACACACACACACACACACACACACACACACACACACACACACACACACACACACACACACACACACACACACACAACCTCACCTTCATGCAAGAGATTGAAATCAGCTAGGCAGACACTCAAGCATGAACCAAATGTCAGCGACAAGCCACAGGGAGAGAAGAGGAGCCCATGTTAATTATTACAAAGAGAAATCACACTATTTCCCCTGCAAAACATGCTGTCCCGGATATCTGTGGCTCATGAAGTCATTTTCTTTTTTTCCCTCCAGGGATAAACCAAGAGGAGACACAATTTCAATGAGTAGGTCTTTAAAAGCAGTGATTAACTTTGTGATGGATGTGTTTTTTCCTGCAAGCTTTTGCTCATCACTTTATGGGATTGTGTTGTGTGCACTTGCACGATATTATACAAAAAGGGGAGCGAATCCAGTGAAAGATCAGCAAGTTAGAGAAAACTGCAGACTTCTTTTGTTCATCAAAATGTCATGGAATTACAGATATTGTTTGAAGGCAGACCGTGAAGCTCTGCCTCCTCTGACAGGAGAAATGCAAAGTTTTGGAAAGGTGTCTAAGAATTTCCTCCCCATGCTACGCTACTCTCTCATTTGAAAAAAAAAAAAGAAGAAAAACAGCCTTCCTCTACTTCTTCTGACAACACGTTTCCCATGTGACACTTACCCTTTGGAGATTTCCCATTCTCTGTGATCATTCACTGTTTGGTTCATGTTAATTAACCCTAGGGCGCAGCAGAGAGTTGCAGGCTTTGAAGCAGAAGAGAGAGAGGGAGGGGGGGGGGGGCAAGAAAGAAGTAAAAGGAAGAAATGATTTTGTTGTTTTCTGCGTCTCTATGGCGATTCATTTCCCTATCTGTGTGAGAGTCTTGGCGGCGCCAGTGAGGATAGTGAGTGGCGTGGGTGTTGGAAAGGATGGAATATGGTTTGTTCTTGGGTTTGTGTCCCTGTCACCGTTAGTCCCTCTCCCTGAGA